TTCTAATCGCACGACTCAGCAAATCTACAAGTAGACACTGGTATCGTAAGATCAGTATGGATTTGTTTTGTAGCATAGTATTGTGCACAGTTCTAAATATGTGAGGTTTCGATGAGTGTACGAACCACGTGGAGCATGTGTTTAAAATGTTGAGGTCATTGGAGATTTACAACAAACATATCGTGCATTTTTTGGTAGAATTCTGATAGTTGAGACGATATGGTATCTGCCTCATCATGGTTGACATCATTTGTAAACGAATTACAGCATTCATCATCTGGGATATTTTGAGAAGTCCTTTATTATAATGCGGTGTTCTAATGGCCTTATCCCGGGTCTTCATTACAACTGTTTAATATAATAATAATAATAATAATAATAATAATAATAATAATAATAATAATAATAATAATAATATGCCTTTATTAATATGGCGAGGCTCGGGCCATCAGGCCCGCTTTCCGCCTAATCACTAATATAATATTCTGACTCCATTCTTCCTAAGACGTATATCTAGGTCGTATCTAATGACATGGTATCGTGTTATTCAGTCTTCAATGATCAATGATCTGAGATTTTGAACAAGTTTTGTTAGTTTTATATTATTATAATTATTACTATTATTGTTATTGTTAGTTATTTTTAGGTACTATTATTAGCGTATCTACCATTAGTGATACACTACCCCTCTTCGGCGGCCCAGACATATTATATCCTGGATAGAGATTAACGTGTGCGATTATGGGGTTCAGATTTGCGGCTGCATCCTTCTGTAAGAAAAGGTTGTTAAACCTTAAATTATGAGTTATGAGGTGATAGAATGACAATGAGGGGAGAAGGGACAATCACAAACCGGAATATATTCAACTATTTCCAAGCATAACTCGAACCTGTAGCCTCCTGTGCGACGGTTGTTATTGTTATTATTGTTATTATTGTCATTGTTATTGTTATTATTGTCATTGTTATTGTCATTGTTATTATTGTCATTGTTATTATTGTCATTGTTATTATTGACATTGTTATTATTGACATTGTTATTATTGACATTGTTATTGTTATTATTGTCATTGTTATTATTGTTACTGTTATTATTGTTACTGTTATTATTGTTGATATTGTTATTATTGTTATTGTTGTTATTGTTATTGTTATTGTTGTTATTGTTATTGTTATTCCGCTGTTGGTGCTGCGCAGGCTGGCTCCTGCTGGTGGCGGCGGTGGCGCTTACCGCGCTCGCGCCAGGGGGCGTGGCGGCGCCGCAGGGGGCGGGCGGGAGCTCCACGGCGGGGCCCCCAGCGGAGCCGTCGCTGCGGGATCAGGCGGTGGGCGCCATTGCCAGGGCCAGCAACCTCTTCGCCAGGGACCTGTACCAGGTGCGTGTGCGTCTGCGCCTGCGCTCACCCCCAACCGAACACATGCAAACGTTCGACAAGACTACAGGGTACAATGATTGGAGCGCCGTTGTCCAGTACTGTTTGCGTATCGTTCGCCAACATTGCACGACAAGAAGTTGACGTCTTTGCGGGAAAATCGAAATACGCGGAAAACAGTGAAAGTAAGGTTATGTTGTTGTTATTGTTAGCCAACGTCCACCCTTGGCATGCTAGCCATTTGGTGACGCGCCGACCAGTATAGACGCCCAGACTTTCTCCTCAGCTTGTAGGAATCCGCACGCAAACAATTGTCAAGTGCGTAGGTGGCGAATTACTGTTACTCATTTAGCGTTACCCAGGGGACACGTGTGGTTGACTACGGACGCGAGCAATTTTGTCCCCGCTCTGAATTATTAATTATTATTATTATTATTATTATTATTATTATTATTATTATTATTATTATTATTATTATTATTATTATTATTATTATTATTATTATTATTATTATTAATGGATTAGGAGGTGTTAGGATATTGGTGAAAGATGATCGTCGACTTTTTGAACCATCCCAGCATTCGCCTTATGACCGAGGGAAACCACGAAAACCCCGGTCAGGATGGCCGACCCGGGAATCGAACCCGGACTTCCCGATTGCGAAGTTAGCTCACTGCGCCTCGGAGAAAATAAATATATACATTAAAAAATTGTGGCTCTATATTGTTTGATTATTTTGGGTTTCCTGCGCGTAAGATGTTGTGATCATTAGTTACATAAGTGAAGTGCACGTTACATCCAGGGAGATGGCGGTGAACTGAAACGTGAGTTTTAAGTTGACTTGCAGTTTTCCCCATCTGATACCTCCACCAGCGGGGCCCCTCCCCAGCCTACACAATTTCGAATGGTCTCCCGGCATAGTGCTTGTGTGTGCTTCTATAACGAGTGACTGGACAAGGATGAGGACAGAAAAATGGCGGTCCATGACCCATTTGGTAGGGCACTCCTTTGACATTTGTCTGGAATTTATCGGAGGAACCATAGAAAACAACCTATAAGGGCAGTCGATCGTAAGAATGACCTTCCCGACAGGCACTGAATTCGGCTCGACTATTTCCTGGTCAGTCATGTGAGCGGCGTTTTTAGACCTATTGATGGCAAACCAAATTGGCAGGGGCTGGTTGGTGAGCACCTCAGTAACACGAAGAATTGAATCGCATCCATTCACAAACGTTGGATAGCTTACTTTGGAGATGGTTTACTCCCAATTATTTTTTCATTAACTTAATTGCAAGAAACCAATTAGCCAGAATGCAAGAAAATAAAAATTAACCGAGAAATAAAATAGCAGTCGCAATGTTCAAATCGAATGCTTTTTTATTTGTTTTAATTTTTCTTTCTGAACTCGTGTATACATTTCTTTTGTAACTAACAAACACTTTTCATGTTTCTGGAGTGTTTCTATGCTTCTGCAATCCAAATTTATGCCAAATAAGCTTTATTTCAATCAACTTTTGAGTGCTTATTGCGGCTCAACAATTCGGAATATCCGAATTGTTTATTAAGCAAAATATGCTTAAAATTGTTTTAAGAGCTTATTTGCAAAGTTTTGACGTTTCTTATCCGGACATTGTGCATAGAATTTTACACACCAACACACGTTTAGTATTCGATGAAATTTTCTGAAAACCAAATTAATCCCGAAAGTAATTGAGTAAATTTTATGTAGAAGAACGAAAAGAAGCAAGAAGCAAGAAGAGGACGAGGAAAAGGAAAAGGAGAAAGGACAAGAGAAAGACGAGGGCGAGATGAAGGAGGGGGCAGGAGGAGCAACAAGAGAAAGAGAAGAAGAAGGAGAAAGAAAAGGTGAAAGTGGAGGGTGATGATAAGGAAAAGGAGAAAGAGGAGGGTGATGAGGACAAGATGAAAGAGGAGGTAGATGACGAGGAAGGGAAGAAATATGATGAAGATGAGAAAGAAGGTGGAAAAGACGAGGAGGAGGAAGGGGGAAAAGATGAGGAGGAGAAAGAACGGAAGAAAGATGGAGGAGCAGGAAGGGGAGGAAGAGGAGGTGGAAGATGGCTAGAAAGATGAGGAAGAGGAAGGGGTGGAGGAGGAGTATTAGGTGGGGATGCTGTTGTAGAAGGAGGGGAAGGGGAGGAGGAGGAAGGAGGATCAGTGTCGTATGAGGGAGGTATTTGTAGTTTAGGAGTGAAAAGGGTTTGTGGTTGGTGGCGATATTGGTGGTAGGGAGTTTTTATGTGTTGAAACCAGAGAATTAAAGATAAAGGAAAGAGGGGGAGTGTGGAATGTAGTCCTTATTGGTGGGGTGAGAGAGGGGTGTGTTTTATCGAGCGAGACAGTGGATTTAGGCTGGGAGAAGAAGTTGTGTGGCATGGTGATTGGGAGGGGGTCTGGAAGACATTTGGGTAAAAAAATGTGATTATATGGAATAGTGTTGTAGGTGAGATTGTATTGGCAATCTAGAAGGAGAGGAGAGGAGGAAGGGGAGGAGAGCACAGGGAGATGGGCAGGAGGGAGGAGGGGAGGAGAAGGTGAGAGGGGAAGGGAGAGGGAGAGGGGAGGAGAGGAGAGGAGAGGGGGGAGGAGAGAAGGGGGGGGGGTTAGGAGGAGGAGAGGAGAGGAGGAGGAGGGGAGAAAGAAAGAGAGGAAGAGTATAATGAGTTTTAATTGCTGAGAACGTTGCCCCAAATAATGAATGTTAGGACGAGCGTGCCTGGGGAGGCGGGCACCTGCCCGCAACGGCGCGAGACGCGGACGCCTCTGAAAACGCGTGCTCGCGGAAGGCCACGCCGCCTGGAAATGCAATTGCGCCTCGCGCTACGCCGCGCCGACATCGCCAGGGGGCTTGCGGCTCCGCAGAGGGAAGCGCAGTGCATGCACGCGGCGGCGGCGCGGGGGCCGCCAGCAGGGGTCCTAGTGGCCTCAAGAACTACAGTCGCCTCATCTTCAGAGGCGCGCGAATGCTTCTGAAGGCTGATCGTGAACACACGACCCAAATTTACAATCGAAGACATTCTTTTGCATTTCATCCGGAGAAAGTGTTATATTTCACGATATATAAGAGAAAGTAAATAAAGCAGGACTTGAAGAACTTTAAAACGCTGTTATTGACTAAGCACTTTTTCTCCAATGGTGTCTAGATTCTCTTCTACTCTTGGTCGCGTACCTTTTTTCTAGAACAACAGTTTGCTCAGACGATAGTGAAAGTGGTTATTCCGTACATATTTTCATGAACTTCTACGAAGCTACGCGACTCGCTCTTGAAGATGTTTAAACTTGGAGAATATCTGATCTGCATTTTATCTCGATTGTTTAAATATCCCCTCGGCATCAACAAACTTACACGAGTACTAATGTATAACATGGATAGAAATATTTAAATGTCCATGTATATGATCTCCACAACGTTAAAAGAGAGGCTTACGTTAGTAAATTGTGTTTAAATGTCACACTGTATAATTTTGCAAAAATTCACAACAGTAATAGGTTGGCATTGGAAGAAAGAACATCAACTTCTATCAGAAAGAATTCGATTCACGTCTATGTCAACCATCTCCTGATTTCAAACTAGGTAGTGTTACTACTTCTTCACATTATTAGTACTAATTTTGGGAACATTATAATGAACTCTGCAAAAGTGTTGCAATCAGCAATTTTTTCCGATGTTGGGATTCGAAAGTTTGCATGCCATTTTAGAGTTAGTACACACGACACACACACACACAACACATACACAGGTGATATATATATATATATATATATATATATATATAATATTATTATATAATATATATTATATATATTATATAACAAAGACAATGTAACAGCCATCTACATAGCGCATACATTCATATACAACAATTATAGATGTTCATACATTCATACATACCCACATCCAGTAGTATTTTACCACCAAACGCTTTTTATCCAGTCGTTCTACCAAACGCTCGCTCGTTAGAAACTGTTGCGTGCGATCAATGTGCAATCCCCGTCGTAAACGCCCGTGGCTGCGCCGCCCGGGAGATTCCTTCGATTGGATCTCGATAAGCGGCTACGGTCCGACGGGGGCTCCCGCTCCGCGGCGCCGGTGTCGAACGAAGTCCCGCGTCGAGCGCGAAGGAAAGCCCCGGCGCAGCGGCGATCGACGCCGCCTCGGGGAAGTCCCCGGGGGCCGCCTGTTGCTACTAGGATTCCCGTCTCATTTTCTATCCTTTCTTTTCTTTTTATTCCCTGGGTTAGTATCCGCTGCTTGCAGAATCCTCGAGTCTTCTTCATCCGGTGTATGCCGATAGTGTCGGGAGGGGTTACACGTCCGGGACTACTGCCTCACTACTCCACTCACCCGTCCTCCCCAGCCCCACAAGTCCCTCCCCACAGTCACCCATTCCCCAACCAGACATCCTCACACAGTCCTCCCCACAGTCCTCATCCTCCCCAGTCCTACCCCACAGTCTCCCCACAGTCCTCCACCCACAGTCCTCCCACAGTCTCCCCAAGTCCTCCCACAGTCCTCCCACAGTCTCCACCACAGTCCTCGCCCCAGTCCTCCACCAGTCCTCCCACCAAGTCCTCCCACAGTCCTCCCCAGAGTCCTCCCAGTCCCACAAGGTCCTCCCCACAGTCTCCCCACAAGTCCTCCCCATCCCACAGTCCTCCCACATGTCCTCCCCACAGTCCTCCACACTACAAGCCTCCCCACAGTCCTCCACCACAGTCCTCCCCACACTCCCACGTCCCTCCCCACACCAAGTCTCCCACGAGTCCTCCCCACATGTCCTCCCCGTCTACCAAGTTCCTCCCCACAGTCCTCCACTTCCCCACAGTCCTCCCCAAGTCCTCCCACAGTCCTCCCAGTCCCCCCACAGTTCCTCCCCACAGTCCTCCCCACAGCCTGCCCACAGTCCTGCCCACAGCCCTGCCCACAAGCCCTGCCCGACAGCCTGCCCACAGCCCTGCCCACGCCACGCCTGCCAAGACTG